ATTAATATTCCACCTTATTTTTTTTGCTGTAGCATTACTTTATAATCGTAATTGTTGCTTCTATGAATAATGCTGTTTTTATATCTTCCACTCATTAGTTTTTTTTATAAGCTGTATTTCAGCATTATTTTCCTTTTTATCTTATTAGTTGTCTTTCGCAATTTTAAGGGTGGATTTCACCGAGACCGTTAGCTCAACTTAAATCTCTACTTTACTTAAATGCGGTTAGCTTTTACCTGTGAGTTTATTTATATTTTGAGTGTTCGAATATATAAATGCATTTTATAAAAACTGGAACTGAAAACAAAACGAAGCGGCCAAGGTATCATTTTTATTTTAAACTAATTATTTATTTTTAATGTAAAAGAGTTTTTTTACACTTTGCTGCTGACAGCTGAAAAATACTGATTCCGTTAGCAAATAATCGGCAGGCTATAATTTGACAAACATAATGTGATTTTGTAGCCATCTATCGTTGAAGTTCTGTTTGAAAGCTAAATCAGACTTCGTGAAATTCGCCCTAAGCGTACTCTGTAAAGGTTAATTTTGAGTTTTAGATATTCGTGTGAAGTTTCTTTGTATACATAAACGTATCTTTGTATATCAAAGCGCCATTGTGCAAATGAAGTAACATTACTAGATATGGTACATGCATACGAGTATAATACAATAATGTCAGCTAATGGAATACTAGTAGTACAGTTAACAAAATATCAAATAAAAAAAATTTACTAATGTATCATCGAAGAAAATATAATTGAAGGGAATACTTTTGCGTACTTGTGTTTTCAGTAAAATATAATATTAAAATAAGAAAAAACGATAAGCTAACCTTCACAGGGGCATTTCTTAAAGCAACTATATGAATAATTTAATCTGAGAACCAGCCAACGAGTTGCATCCAAAGGAAAACGTTTTGCTAGTCACATTGTTTTATATAAATAACCTTCAAAGCGTATTAAGGTAACTTAATAAGGAAATAAAATCTTTTATGAAGATCTTTATCTTGGTTTTGATCGCTCAGTTTGTCTGGCAGCTATAGCCATATTTAGCCATATCTAGTCAGCTCGTCGCGCTGCTTTTTTACGATATATTGTATATACTTTATAGGGTCTTTTATCGTTTCATTCTGGGTCGTGGCAAATATTACCTTGTTATGCCCTGAACAAACAGTCAAGTTCCATCTGAGTTAGTGTTGCGTATAAAATTATTTAAAATTTAATTATTTTAAATAGGTTTAAGTATATCCTGTTGGCATAGTTGTGATTTTACACTTGCTAATATGCATCGACGACTTTCCACTCTCAACTGGTGTTGTTGTTCTATTCGTAAAATCTTTGAAGTCATTACCAATATGTGACTTATTTTCTAATAACTTTGTTGTTTGCTCATAGAATTTTTTATGAGAAAGAATAACATAAACAAGATAATCGACGGCTAGTTTCGAAAACTGAACAAGCAAGTAAGTTTTTTTAAGTTTGATATACAAGTAAGTACATGTTATTTTTTACTTAAGAAAAGTATAGTGGAATTCTTAAAGTATTTAGTACTGAAGTAATGCTCTTTCAATGGCGCAAAGAGACAAATATAACATAAGTTCCGCTAAAATAATGAAACTTTTGATTTTTGAATAACTTAATCAGGAACTGAAAACACTTAGATAACGTTTTTCTAACGGGTTTTTTCTATTATGTTCTGTTATTGCAATTTACAGATTTTTATAAAAACGTTCTGTGAGTAAATCTTTGTTATATATATTTGAGTTGACATATTTTTTTTGTTGCTTTATGTATAACTTGCACCCCGCTATAAATTTATATAAATTACATTCATTGAGTTTGTTGTATTTAGTATGAAATGTTAAATTCGGCATACGTATTAATTTTCAATAATTCGTTCTAAATGTTTCTTTGATATCTTCACATGCTTTATTTATCACATAACCGATATGAGAATTTTTAAAATGTTTAACAATGTTTGTAAACAGAACTAGTTACATAATGATTTTTGTTCTTATCGGGGTTGGTGTCATCGAATGATTATACCTTTTATAGTTTTATCTAGTTATAATCTTGCAACATGTTGCTACAGACTATAGTAATTTTGTCCACCTAACGGTTGTTTGTATCATCTAAAACTAATCAAGATAGATATATTGTTATGTATACGAGTATATAAATGATCATAATGACAAGACCAGGTGAAGTCCGGGTGACTGTCCATTCGTCTGTCCGTGCAAGCTATAACTTGAGTAAAAATGAAGATATCATGTTCCCTGGCACCATAAGAAGGTTGATATTGTAAATGAAGGTAATCGAAGCACACATATAACGGATTTGTTAAAAACTACTAAAAATGTGATAAATCAATAACTAAATGCGTCAGAAAAATTCAATTTTACATTCAGGATGCTACAAGAGGGTTTTATAGGAGCCGGTGTCAAAATTGGACGATGAGCGGGGCACCGTTCAATTTTAGGTGAAATCACATATCCGGATCTACTCGACCAATTTCAACAAAATTGGGTAGGTAACATTATCCTGACATTTCTATATATCGATGCGAAATCTGACTATAATTTCATCTAATTCTTTCAGTTTCCAGTATGCAAATCTGGTACCAATGAATATATTGGCGATCTCAAGTCTAAAGATTGTCAAAATCGGACCATAACTGTTCAAGCCCCCAGGTACCGACTATGTGGACCGCATTGCTTATAGCTGACTTTTTACTGGAAATATTGGTCAATATGTAAAATATATAATTGAAATTCGGAGAGAATCCAATCCTGATAATAGAATTTCTGTATGTCAAAATGGGGATCAATCGGGTGAATATTTCCCTTAGTCCCCATATACCTAATAAGAATATTTTCAAACTTCCGGCTAATTTTCTACCGCATATAATAACATTGTATCTTTGCGTCTAAAATGGTAAAAATTTGCCTATCATGATGTACAAACAACCGGTTGGCTTTATTCTTTATATATTGGTTATGGTATGTGAGGTATCTTAATGAAACACAGAGAGTATCTTTTTCTGATTATAATATCTAGCAATGCCATGTAATGTTAAATTCTTTCGCAATTCTGGCAAGTTGCAAGAGTATGAAATGTTCGGTTACATCCTCACTTAGCGCTTCCTTACTTGTTTTACTTTGGTTTCGAATCGAGTTCGGTTAGAATTGTCAATTGGGCCTTAAGAAACTCATAGAAACATTAACAGAAATCTCTGATAGCGTCTTGCAGGAATGGTAGCCAAAATCATCATTTCATTCTTGACTAGGTCGCGCAAATGTGGTTTCAATTCGTAAGTACAGACAACTTTTAAAATAATATAGACATTATTAAATTTAACTATTTCTTACAGTTTAATTAGCTGTTGATGGAATGTTGCGTTTGAAGGAATGTTGCGGAAATACTTACGATCTGGTAAGAATTTCTAATATTCTGAAATGCCGGATGCACATAATCTCCGTTATTGATATATGCAGCTGCAATTTAGAATTTTTACCGCTTCGGTTTTCCATTACTTTTATAAGAATTAAGAACCGAGTAAAACAATGGTATTGTAAATTGTAAAAAAACCTCAATTATTTTAGTACTCCTGATTCTGGAGAAAAAAATTATGAAACAAATTATGTAAACATTCTGTTGTGATCGAATTTCACAATACGCAGATATACCATAAATACGTCCAGAGGCATTAGTCTGCCTACAGTGCGTATAAACGATTATCACATTAAGTTATTTAAATTTTACAGTCGTAGAGAATGTTCAGCCAGGCTGGATTGCTGAAACGTATTTTAAGTATAAATTTCTTGATCTCATATTACATTAGTAAATGTATAAAAAAATGTATTTTTTTATAACTCGTGAACTCTGTGAAAAATTGTGTATGTAACTTTATTGATTTTTTTGTGTTTTTCGCCATTGTTCAAGTTTTGTTTTATAAACAAATCTAAAGATTATTTCATAAAAATGAAGTGTGCAAAGTCTAGATGTCTTAATTTAAACCAGCGAAATGAAAATAGATTTCAAGAAAAACTATCGATAGTATTTAAACTATAGAGTAGTCCAACTATCGATAGTTTTGCAGCTCCACAAGCTATAGTCATATTCAGGATTTCTTATATCTATGAGAAGTTGAAAACTAAATGTCAATTTACTCTCTCAACTTACTTAATTGAATGGACGATAATCTCGCTTTTAGTTTGTCATTATGCTTAATGAGTGTTTTGTAATTTAAAACAAGAAAAAAACGTCAGCTTCGTTTGCAGCGAAGCAAAAATACCCTTCATACATACATAGTATGTTCATACAAGAACTTGATTTCGATCAGTTGATTTTTATGACAGCTATATGCTATAGTGGTTCGATCTGAACCATTTCTATAGAGGTTGAGTCGTTGCCTTTGACAATAATCAATGCCAAATTTCTTGAAGATATCTCGTCAAATGGAAAAATTTGTCCATACAAGCACTTAATTCCGATCGTTCAGTTTGTATGGCAGCTATATACTTTAATAATCCATCTGCGCAATTTCTTCGGAGATTACACTATTGTTTTAGACAATAACCCGTGTCTAAATTCGTGAAGATTTCTCCTCAAATAAATAAGTTTCCTATACAATAACTTAATTTTGATCATTCAGATTGAACGACAGATGAGCAGCTTCTTTGGTAAAAAAGAAGGTGGGCAAAATTTCAGATCGATATCCTGGCAAACTAAATATATTTTGTTTAGGGTATAATTATGTCAATTGTGATCAAGAAACAATGTTAAATACTGTCTTCATGTGCCCACACCCTTCTATATACTTAGGCTGGAAGCTTTTGGGCTATACTGTCTGAATTTAGCTATGCATACGACTTGGTCAGTGCCTCAGAGCGTATTGAGATGTTTTCGCACATATTACGTCAATGCTTAAACGGTTCTTAACTGATTTGTACGTCGGTCACAGCAAAAATTAAAATAATACAAATCATTAAAACAAAAACGTAATCAGTTGACCTTGTACTTTTATTTCGCAAAGAACGTATTTTCAATAATTTATACTTTCCTAATTGTGAGCTCTTCAATTTTACCTGGCCCAGTTATGTTCATGACAGTATGAATTGCTTGTATGGAATATAATTACTACTTTAAAATTGTTTCATTTTTCTACATAATTATGTGGTTATAATAATCGCTCAGGACATTTACATATATTTATATGTGGGAGTAAGTCCATAAAATGGCATTCACTCGAACGACGTTAGAGTCCTAAAGTCTTTTATGTTTGGATTTTGGAAATCATCGATGATTCCGCTAATATACTTGTATGTCTTTGGTACATATTCCTTAAAACCAGTTAGTTTTGCTCCCTTATCCTTTGACATCGGGTGTTTGCCGCTGTTGTTGCTGTATTCACTTATTCAATATGTTTCGCTCTGTGTAATTACATCTAAGGTGACCTTTAAGTTATCGCTAATGAGTGGTTCTCACGCACTGCTGTGATGCTGGGTTGTAGATGTTTGCGGTTGTTGCTGGTGCTGTAGAGATACATTATTGACAGCAGCTGTGACTGCATTATTGGCGGTTTGTTGTGCTGCTGTGAGGAAATTGAGCGCGCGTGCATCGTTATGCAACCGCAGCGCTTGCTCCAGCCGATGCTCCTGCATACGTATCGCTTCGCTAAGATCAGAAGTTAGTTGTGACTGCTGCTGTGACCCTATGGTTGTAGATTGCTGTTGTAAGCTGCCACTGGTGTTTTGCTTTTGTGTTTGTTGGTGAGACAATAAATGTTGGTGATGATTCTGCTGCTGTTGTTGTAACGCAACATCACCTTCACTTAGTTGTTGCTGTTGCGTTTGATGCGATTCGGCTTTAACCTGTATTGCGTTGTTGTTTTGTGACACACCATTATTGTCATTATTACTGTCATTCGCACTTGTTACAGCTACATGGCTGTTACTACTGCCCCCTATGACGCTGTTGGATGCCGCTACTGTTGCTGCTAAGCGAAAAGCCACTTCCGTGTGGGAGCGAAGTATAGCCTCCGCATGTTGTTGCATACGTAATGCAGTTTCTGGTGAGTGCGGCTGTTGCATCTGGTTCAAATGATGGTGATGGTGATGATGCATTGTGGGATTCTGTAGTGTTGACGCCACTTGGTGTTGGCTTTGATGGCTGCTACCGGACATGCTGTGCTGGCTGTAAGAGCTGTGTCCTGATTGCAAATTGTTCGTCGTATGGTGTTGCAGATGCGTGTGAACATGTTGATCATGTTGCTGATGCATTCCACTTAACGGATCCACGACACCAATGGTATTGCGCATCATCGAGTCGCGCATAGCATTCATAGTCACCACTGCGTTAACTGCAGATGAATCTGGTTGTATGTTGGGCATTATCGTGCTCGGAGAGTTAGCGTTCATACGCAACCCACTAGGGGTCAATGGCGCTGATATCGATTTTTGATTGTTGTCTCCCGAGGTTCCTTGTTGCAGTTGTTGTTGCTGCTGCGGCTGCTGATGTTGCTGTGGTTGGTGATGCTGTGTGTGCATTTGCTGTTGACTGGACGTATTACTGGCTACATTACCCACGCTGGTTGATGCACTATTGTTGCTACAGCCTACGACAATATTGCCCCCGCTTTGTTGTTGGCTGACTTGATTAATGCGCATCGCTGCCGCCAAATTCACAACAGCTGCTTGCACACTTGATCTGGTAGATTCGACACAGCCAACGGGAGATGCCATGCTCACACCAGATACAGCGGCCACATTCCCGCCACCACTTACTCCTGCGCCACTAGCTGAAGCTGCCACAGCTGCCGCAGCTGCTGATGCAGCGGCCATCAGTGACATGCGATTCGCCACGTGTATTTCCGGGTCCACACCGACCCCATATTGATTGCTTAAATGAGGGTTACTACCTGTACGGCTCAATAGCTCATTCAATTTATTGCTATTGCAATTATTGTTGTTATTATTATTGCTGGATAGTAAGTGAATACCACTTCCCTGCTCAGAAGCGGCAGATGATGAAAGGCGGCCTGTCGAAGAGCATTCCGAGTTTGCTGAAGGCGAAGGACATAGGGAATTCGAGCCGCCGCCATCGCCTATCAAAGGCAGTAAGCCATTGCCTCCATTGCCACCTCCGCTGGACCCTCCACCAGCCGAAGCAGCTAGCGTTGCAGCTAATATTGAATCACGCTCCCTTCTCTCTGCCGCTGCCCGTGATAAAACATACTGTGCAGCAAATTGGTGCTTTGGATCCATACGCATGTGTTCCATGTGTGTGAGAAGACCTAAAAGAGCATCGAGAAGAACACATTGAAATTATTTTCGTTCTACATAAACGGTTGTGTAAGAATATACACAATTCAGAGTATACATTTTTACTGAAAAGCATAATTTTTCTCTTCGCTTTGGAGTATGATTGTTTTCCTGACTGCATTTTATTAATATTGGGCACTTCTTATAGAACAGTTTCTTACCATTTTCATGGGTGAATACAGCTTGGCATACTGAACACGGCCACATGCGCAAACTATTTGTTAGCTGTGTTGTCTCCGGATGACAGGCCAAGTGCTTACGCAGTGAACCCTCGTTTACATAATGCTTGCCGCAGACTGGACATGGATGATTGGCAGTGCGTCGCTTAGCCAAATACGGGTCGCAGGACGATGATTGCATACAACCCGATACGGAGTTATCAATATAAGGACCTGTTGGATAAATAGATGTACAAATGTTTTCAGGCCACATTAATAGTCAGTTCTGGGACAATTGCTTACTGGCAAAAACTAATAAATTTTGGTGTTTAACATCATTTTCTTTACAACAGCCGTTAAGATATTTCGAAATCTCGTATTTGCAGCATTTAAAGCACATTAATATTCAATGCATTTAATAATTAACACCGAATTAAATGGTCACTTGCGTTAAAATTTCGATGAGATTTTCTGAATAGAAAAATAACTTTTGGACCGTACATATTTATATCTTGAACAGAGTATAGAGTAGGGTATTACGTTTGAAACTCCCAAATGGAAATTTTGGAGACCCTATAAAATATACATGTCAATGATCAGCATTACGAGCTAAGTCGATTTAGCCATGTCCTTCTGTCTGTATATACCAACTAGTCATCCATTTTTTGAGATATCGATCTGAAATTAAACACACGTCCTTTCTCTCAAAGCAGCTCATTTGTCAGAACCGCCGTTATCGAACAACTGTAGCATATAGTTGTCGTACTAACTGAACGATCAAAATCATGTCCTTGTATTCAAAACTTTTTTAGTTAACAAGATATCTTCAAGAAACTAGGCACGGATAATTGTCCAAGGCAATGGTACTATTAATGGCATATTGCTGTCGAACAATCCGATCGATCAAAATCCAGTCTTTGCATGGCAAACTTTATATTTGACGAGGTATCTTCACGATATTTGATACGAATTATTATCCAAGGCACAGTCCTTGATAAACATTTTAGATCGCATCACTAAAGTATATATCTGCTATACAAATTGACTGATCGAACTCAAGTCCTTGTATGGAAAACTCTCTTATTTGTGAAGGGTATTCTAGCTTCGGTGCAACCGACGTTAAGGTTTTTTCTTGTTTTTAAATGAAATATAACAGCTGCATGCAAGTTTGAACTTTTCTACTTATTGTTGTGTTTTATGGTTATTGTTTGATATTACTATATTTCTACGCTACTAAAAACTTCGAAACAGAAAATTTTTTGGAGAATTGTAGAATTTATATTTGAAACCAAAAATAGGAATGATATGATTTCTTAGTGTCGTTTCGGCTATTTTTAATATGACATCATCTGTAATTTTTATTTCTTGTATTTAGTAATGTTTACAAATGATTCAATTTTATTATCAAAATAATCGTTATCTAACTTTTAGTGCGCTTTTGCCAATGGAGAGCGGCATAGGTCAATAATAACCAACATTTTATGGCCGCAATTAGAAGAAGTTGATCTTGACACTATCTGGTTCCAAAAAGACGGGGTTACGTGCTACGCAGCACGTGCAACAACCGAATTATTGCGAGAAAATTTTTGAAATTTGATAATTTCAAGAAATTGTGACATTGGAGTTGTGTTTCAACACCATTAGACTACTTCTTGTGGGGTTATTTGAAGTAATTGGTCTTTAGCAATAAACCAGTCTCTTTTTAAGCTTTAGAAGCCAATATTGAACATGTATGAACATGACATACTACTAGATTTAGTAGAAAAAGTACTCAAAAATTGGGTCCATCGATTGTATCGATTGTACTACATATTAATTAGTATACAAGTACATATATTTTTTTAAATAAATCATGTCACTCACTGTTGGAAAATCATTTTTATTGAGGGTGTTTTGTTATTGAGTACTTGTTTTTGAATGGTCTTTTACACATATATTTAAATATAGAATACTAAAACTAAATATACTTACTGCCAACACTTGGTACCGGCTTCTCCTTGTGCGCATGCTTCATATGCTCCATTAAAGCATCGGCTCCCAAGAATAGTTTGTGGCATACATGGCAGGAAGTAGCGTTGGGGCCGCCAATCAATGCCGCATGCTGCTGCAAGACACCAAGATGCAGCTGTAGCTCCTGTTTTGATTTTCATTTGGTGTATTTATTTTAATGGTTTTTTATTTTTATTTTGTTGCAATGTTTCGGTGAGTAGATTTGTGCAGGGATTCCGATTTAAGTTTTAAAGTTTATATGTTGAGAAAGAGGGGAAGGTTTCAAGTGTAGGTCGGTGTGATTTGGGAATATGACGGGCGGCATCGATGCAATGAAATTGAATAAAAACAAAACAAAATTAATTTTTGAATATGCTGGGAATGAACGATTTTCGTTTGAACATTTCACGGTTCTCCGTGTATGAGTAGTTGTGTATTCTGCAATATTAATTCATATAAAGCAAATTCATAAAATAGTTTTTATATTATTATTTTGATTTTGTGCATTTAAATGCATTTTGTTTTTACGTAACCATACTGCTATGCAGAAGTTTGTGTCAACATTCATGCCAGACTCAGTGTACTCAATCTGCAGTGAAATAAATTTATAATAGATTTTGATTCAAATATGAACCGCAAGCACTAGCATGGGTATAAATTTGATAAAGAGTAATAAAACTCATTGAAACTCAGATGTACATTAAAATTAACACAATCGGGTTTTCATCCTTACACTTAAAAGGTATTTTCCAAAATCTTGATGTACCACGAGTACATTGGCTGAAAAGTCATGGCTTAACTATGATTTCGACGTCCAAAGATCTAATAACGCACCGGAATATTGTTTTTTGATTGTTGATTGTTTTACCATGTTCGATGTTGACGAAAATCATTCCACATGAATATAAAAATGTAAGAGAACTGGCTAAAACTGTTATGTTTTCGAGCAGTTTGGAAAAGTTTTTCGATTTTTAGCGTGCCGATTGGACTCAGGGGTGTAATGATGTCTCATATTTCATCCTTTGTCACAAATTGACGTATTTATGAAATGATTCGATAAAATATCGACACTATTCTAGTTAAGTAATCTAAGACAAGTATAAAAATTTTTTTAGTTTTAGCAAGATTTATTGGACTTTTCGGGCCATATAGTATACATTGTAGACTTTTTTTTAATATTACAAGCCTGAACTTAATTGTCCCTTACTTGAGGTTAAAGATACATAAATGCATTAATAAGACAATTTAATTACGATTTATTAATTCTTTTTAATCCCGAAAATATTAATTTAAAATAATTTTCATATTTACTTACAGTATTGAACAATAAGTTTTAATCTCAAAAATCGAATTAAAAATAAACAAGTAAGGAAGGGCGGATGTAACCGAACATTTTATACTCTCGCAAAGTCAAATAGTATACTCGTTTGAGATTTCTTTGTGGATTGACTGATATTTTCGGTAAAGGTCAACTATAGGCACTGGGGTCCACATATTTAGTATTTAGCGGCTTAAACAGTTTTGGTTCGATTTAGACAATTTTTGGCCACAAGGTGGCATACTTTAATAGCATTATTCACGCAAAGTTTTGTCCCGATGCAGTCATTGTTGCCTGATTTGCATAGTGGAAAGTGAAAGAATCAGATGGAATTTAAAATGGTGTTATATGGGAAGTAGGCGTGATTGTAGTCCGATTTCACCCATTTTCGCACTATGACATGGAAACATGAAAAGAACGTTACGCACTGAATTTGGTTGAAATCGGTTAAGCAGATCCCAAGATATGGGTATTCACCTAAAAGTGGGCTGTGTCACGCCCACTGTCTAATTTTGAACGCGGTTCCTATAAAGTCATCTCATACCATCCCAGAGATAAAATTTAATGTCTCTGGCATGTTTAGTGCTTGAGATATCGCGCTTTTAGTAGTTTTTAACAGTACCGTTATATGGGGAATGGGCGGAGTTGCCACCCGATTTCAACTATTTTCACACCGTCAATAGAAGTGCTAAAGACATTTGCTTCTAGTGAATCGTCTCTTCATCCTGATCATTTATATATATAACCCTATATCTAACTCGATTAGTTTTAGGTGATACAAACAACCGTTAGGTGAACAAAACTATTATACTCTGTAGCAACAGGTTGCGAGAGTATAAAAATTAAAATTTTAATCACGAATACCGGATATAAAAATACAAATGAATGTTAATTAAAAATTGTGTTTTAGAATTTAATATTATTTCGCGCTTGGTTGATCCCATGTTTATAATTAAAAATTAAAAAAAATTATGGTTTGGAATTTTAAGTTATTTCGCGCTTGCGTACTTAGTGTCTCACCATTTGGTTCTATTTTGAAAATTCGGTTGTGAGATTAAAAAATACATTTTGAACTTTCAATCCAAAATTGTTTAATTAAAAATTTCGCAATTGATTTGGGCCACTATTTATTTATTAACGATTATAGTAATAGATTGTCTTACTCAGGTATATGGTTTATATGTACAAGTATATTTACAGGTTAATATGCATTGTATATTTCGTTGTTATCAACATTACTGACCTTCGATGTGTGCGTACGTAAACTGGATTCAGTGGCAAAACCTTTGCCGCAGATATTGCAGTGAAAAGGACGATTTTTTGCACGTTCCACTTGTGCGTCATGATTTCGTAAATGTTGCTGTAAGTTTGATAATTGAATAAAAGCGCGTCCGCAATCCGGCAAGTGACATTTGTATGGACGTTCACCTTGAAATGAAGTAAATATAAAAAATGTAAAATGCTAGTTTATAAATGTAGTAACCATAAACATTTTTAAGTTTAATTTTGTTACGATTGATGCGACGTTGCGCAATATCGAAATAAATTTCAATTATATTCTTGATTTTAGCTAATGATCGTACTATACCTACTGCAAATTAAATTCATCTATGGTTCTATAAAATATTATTCCCTGCCACAAGTCATTTGTTGGGAATTCGTACCTTGTCCAAGTAAGCGGATATAGTATAAGGTAAGTGTGAATAAAACGTAATAATATCCAGGGTTGCAAATCAATTATTAAAAAATAATTGAATCAACATTTGAAATAAATTTTTATTTATTTTGTAATTCCAAAAACCGGATTGAAAAATAAAAAAGAAAAATTTTAATCAAAAGCATATAGTTAAGAATTAAAAAAAGAATTTGTTTTAGAATTAAAATTTTTTCGCGTTCGCTCAAATTAAACAACAATATTTTAAATTATTTTAAATCCCAACATCGGGATTAACAACTGAAAATCCAATATTTAATCGCAATATCGGGATTAAAAAATAAATATTTAATTTTTAATCAATAAATTCGCTGATAAAATTACCTAGTAATACGCCATAGCCACGTCACTATACCAGTATATCTGAAATTTAAAAATTAAATGTGATGTATAGGGGTTTAAGAATTGTCAAAGGACCAAGCAGAGATTCTACGCTTAAAACGGCAAGCATCGAATGTTTTCATAAATACTTATTTTGTTCAACAACGGACTTATTTCTCTTTTGATTTTGATCGGTCAGCTTGTATGGCAGCTATATGCTATAGTCTGATCCGTTCCTCAGATATTGTAGCGTTGCCTTGGACAACAATCCATCCGAATTTCATAAAGATATCTCGTCAAATAAAAGAGTTTTACATGCAAAGACTGGATTTGATAATTCAGTTTATATGGTAGTAATGCGATCTTAACAATTGAACAATAATCCGATTTTGCTTGTGTTTATTGTACAAATTGAAAATTCAAAATTAGAATTTAAAGCATAAATTTTCCAAATAGTTTTTCAGATCTTAGTCATAATATGTTAATTTTTATTGCTCAAGCGTCTTTAAGTTAAACAGATTTTTTTTCTGTCTACTGAATACTAATAAAAACAACAAAACTAACCAAAAAAGAAAAAAACTGAATTACTTCAAAAATAAAAGCAAAAAAAACATTTGACAATTCATGTAAAATCCAAGTTATAAAACAAAAATTCACTTTTTAATATCGCGTAGCTCTTCCTTTTCTTCGGACTTCTTCTTTTAAACGTCTTAATATTGATTCGACCAACTTTCTTGTTATGGATGTGTCTATACTGTACCACTCTTCCATTAGTATCTGTTCCATTTGGGTTTTGCTTGTAAAATGGTGCTGTCTTAGTCTTCTTTCTAAATGATCCCATAGATGCTCTGTGGGATTTAGATCTGGACTTCGAGCAGGAGTTTTAATTACTCCAGGGCAATTGTATAAAAGCCAAAACAGTATTTAATGCGGAATGCTTTGGGTCGTTTTCTTGGTAAAACTGGAAAGTCACTTCGATTCCGAGATTTTCTGCACTAATTCGCAATTTTCTCTTTAAAATACCAATATATTGCATGTGGTCCATGATTTGGCGAATTAAGTCCATTTTTCCAACTCCTGTTGTCGACATACACCCCCAAATCACAACTCCTCCACCTCCATGTTTCACAGTCGCCACTGTATTTCGCTCTTCCATCTCTGTATTGGGTTTCCTGTACACAATTAGTTTGCCATCACATCCAAAAAGATTAAATTTGCTCTCATCTGCAAAGATCACATTACTCCAAAATTCAGTGGGCTTGTTTATGTACGGTTTTGCAAAGCTTAATGCTTCCAATCTATTGTTTTAGAGATATGTGGCTTTTTGCGCGCAGCTCTTTCCTGTAATCATTAATTTTCAAATAATTTCGAATGGTTCGGGGTGTCTCATCTATATTCAGGCTTTCTTTAACACTTTTGGAGAGAACCGTGGCATTTGTTTTTGGTTCTTTTTTGACCTGGCGAACCAACCAACGATTTTAACAGCTTATTCCGAATGCGTTTATTTGCAATATCAATCTGGCAAAAGTCACAGGCACTTGGCAACTAAGTATCATTGAAATACCTAAATAATTAATTTATTATTTATTGAGACATAAATAATAAAACAATCCAACTATGAATTTTGAACACTTTGATATGTAGTTCATTTCGATCACTGGTATGTATTCTGTTCGCGTGTGGCTGCTAAATTTACGGTGAAAAACAAAAAATAAATCCCTGATACACAAATAGCAATTTACCAAGTAATTGGCATTTAGTTTGGCTAATTTACTATGTCATCGCATCTGCGAGCGCAAGCAGGGCGCACAACTTGCGATATTTGTATGTGGGAGAAGGGGAGCCAACACTAATGTTTGGTCTTCAGCTCCGTTATCACAATCCGCCACATACCTTTTCAAATTCATATGTGTATGATCCACTCGTTCTCACAAAGCCCATTCATACTTAATTGCTTAACTCTAACAGCGAAAAGCAAAACAATAAAGGGGTATAAAAAGTGTAGCAAGCCATTGGCGTGACGTGCCGAGCATTGACTGTTCATGTGTTGCGCATTTTTAAAATTTTTCGGTTTCAATGGAACCCTTAAAAGTAGCTCTTTTACTTTTTCTGAAGCTATCGTGTCCAGTTGTGGAAGTGATGGCGCTTCAACACTCACAAATGATTTGCCAGCGGGAAGCAGTGGTGGTTGCAACACCGCGGGCTTGCTGCCATTTGCGCACAGTGTGCCATTTGTCATTACACACTGACATAATACAGAAGTTACAGTAAAACATCCTTGGAGTCATAACGAGTTCACCATGCTACATTGGAATGCCTTGGTACAATCCTGTAATCAAACCCGCTTAAAAATAATAAATTTACCAGCCTTCTAAAGAGCAAAATATTATCAAAAAGCCTCAACCTTAACCTTGAACTGGTTTTGTTTTAGTATTACTTATTGTAAGGCTTTAAACAAGCAGATAAAGAGATGTTAAAACAAGAAAAAACGTTAACTTCGGTTGCACCGAAGCTATAATACCCTTCACAAATACAAAGGCTTACAAAAACTTGATTCCGATCGTTCAATTAGTATGGCAGCTATATGCTATAGTGATCTGATCTGAGCAATTTCTGTGGAGCCTTAGACAATAATTCATACCTAATTTCGTGAAGATACCTCGTCAAATAAAAAAGTTTTTTATCCAAACACTTTATTCCGATCGTTCAGTTAATATGACAGCTATATGCTATAGTCATCCGATCTATACGATTTATCGAAAATAGGATTATTGCCTCAAATAATATTCCATGTCAAATTTATATGATATATGCTATAGTTTGTATATATACAGACAGACGGACATGGCTAAATCAAATCAGCTCATCATGCTGATCATTTAGGTATATATTTTAAAGGGTCTCAGACGTTTCCTTCTGGCAAACTTAATATACCCTGTTCAGGGTATAAAAAATATTTGTTAATGTAAAAACCCCTTACCATACCTAAGATCACCATAATCGGGCTCAGCGCTCAATTTATAAGACTTTAGAAGAATTGTTTTTGCTATGTTCAAACATGACTTTTCTACCGCCAGTTATTCGATAATACTTCTTTTAATAGAGTTACTATCTTCACCGTAGACCTTGTTTGAAGCAATATTTCTTTTTACACTACAAGTAGATAATACTATTTAGGCGGCGTACAAGAACCGGATCCAAAACCCTTTTTTGCTATTACGAACTCCAACTATTTTCTGTCGAAGTTTCATTGGTGCTGCCAAACTGGAAAGTGAAGATTTGACCGATAATGAAATAGATGAAATTCAAGCAAAAAATCAAAACAATTCAATTCAGTTATTGCTCACCAAAAGGCGAATAATTAATAAAGTCTATATTAAGATGACAAAATTGTTGGGGTCAAAACTGATGTGCATGTTGAAGTTTGACAACACTTCAACAAAAAATTTTTTTTGACGGATTGAGTTGATATCTATAATACCTAATTTCAAAACTTTATCACAAATGCAGTGGAGTTAAAAACCGTTACCGTAAGTAACTCTTTAAATTGGGTTCAACTTTCGTTGTGAAGCAAAGCAATGTTTTGATTATAGGTATAATATAATTCGCCGTTTATGGATATGCACACTGTATATTAGAACGCCTGTTTTCGGGTCATAAAAAAGCGTGAAGAAAAATTTACAACAAAAGCGTTTACAGCGCCCTTTTAAATAATGGTTACCATCATGACAGCACTGCCACTTTGTACGTCTTCTCCCCAGGTACCAACGTTTAATTTATTCAGCTTGTTGCACATTGTCTCCTTCCTGTTGTTCGAAATTATTTTCTACTTTTTCACCGTTTCAGATGTTTTTTCTCATTTGCGAACGTTCTCACATTATTGACCAGCAGCCACAAACTGAGTGTTGCAATTTATATTTAACCCATTCACGGTTTTTTCGTTTATTTCTCATTTTTTGTTATGATTTTCTGCGTTTGTTTTCAGTTCTTTTATAAATACAGTTCAACATAACTGTCACCTTATATCACAAACAGTCACCGACATTCCTCCCTTCCGTACTTACCGCCCGTATCAAACCTATTGTAATTTGTCAAAAGTTATGCCCGTAGATGCAACGCAGAAATCAGTTGTTCTCTTTTGTTTTTACTCAAGTTAATTTTTTTATTACTACAAAATATCGAGATTGGCAACCATACGTTGCAAGAGATTGCTCTCTCACTCTCAGCTCACTCGTTTCTACGGAAGAAATCCAATTTTCGCGGATACGGTCTGTTGAAGCGGACGATAGAAGCAGTGGTGACTGTTCATATACATTGCGCTCTCATAAGATAGGTCGTATCAGCTGATTCGGTCTACGGTTTTGAGTCGGTGTCTGTTTGTGCCATTAGTACG